TGGCAACCCATCGACGCTAGACCTGTTCCTGACAAATATCGGCTTGTCCAAGCCGGTGGCATTGAACGAACTCAGCTCCGACCACCAACCGGTGGTGGCTGAACTGGGCTGCAACGTGGCTCCTGCTTCAAGCCTGCGCAAGGACTACCATCGCGTAAACTGGGCCCAGTTTGGACGCGTGGTAGACAGGCACATCATCGACAACCCGTCGCTTGACACCGTGGAGGACATCGACCGAGCGTTGGAGGGACTCCACCAAGCCATAACCGTGGCTAACGAGGCGTGCGTCCGACGAGTTCCTGTGAGGGGTAAGTTTATAGCCATTGATTCCCACACCCAATTACTGATTCGCTTGAGAAATGTGCGTAAACGCCAGTTCCAGAGAACCGGAGATCTAGCGAGGAGACGTGAAATGGCCGATCTGAACAAGGAGATTGCTTCCAGAATGGTCTCACTCCAGAACGAAAGTTTCGGGCGGCTTGTCCAGAATCTGGACGACCGCTCCAGACCATTCTGGAAGGTAGCTAAGGTCCTAAAGACGCACCCCAAACCCATTCCTCCACTCAAAGATGAAAATGATGACGATCGGCTCATAATCACCCCTCAGGAGAAAGCAAATGCGATTGGTGAGCATATTGCCAAATCGCACTTGCTTGGCTTCGACATCCAAAGTCCGCTCGAAGTTCAGGTTGAGCAATGCGTACTCAACCTTGATTCCTCCCCTTGTGCCATCCCCCCGGAGGTTAGAATCACAGTGGAACAGATTTGCTCAACGCTGAAATGCACCAAAAACATGAAGGCCCCCGGGTTTGACGGAATATTCAACCTAGTATTGAAAAATCTCAGCATGAAGGTTCACTCTCTGCTGGCTGCTGTCTTCAACAGATGCTTGGAACTGCACTACTTTCCAAGTATCTGGAAGACAGCGAAAATCATACCTATCCGCAAACCCGGGAAGGACCCAACGCTAGCTTCAAGCTACACAGATAAAAATTTTGAATTTTAATTGTGATGTAAACATTCATTCACGTAAACTTAAATTTAATTTCACGCAACCGAGCAACTTGTAAACAATGTTGTTTACAAAAATGAGATTTTGTATACAATATTTGCTACATTGCATGAATTGTGCTAGAACTTTACATGATATATAATGTAAACTTATATGATATATGACGCTTCATTTGTGTGCATCATATTGAACAGAAATTTACACTACTTTTCGAACTGTGTACAGACCAATCAGCCTCCTTTCAGCGCTGAGCAAATTGTTCGAGAAACTCATTCTCAATCGTTTGCTCAAGTTTGTCGAGGAACACAACATTCTCCTACCGGAACAGTTCGGGTTCAGGAAGGGGCACTCCACAAATCATCAGCTAGTACGGGTGATGAATAACATCCGAAGTAACAAGGCTGTATCCAAGTCTACAGCCATGGCATTGTTAGACGTTGAGAAAGCGTTTGATAATGTCTGGCACAATGGGCTTGTATACAAGCTTTGTAACTTCAACTTTCCTTTGCATCTTGTTAAATCACCCGTAACTACCTTCAGCAAAGGTCGTTCAGGGTATCGTTGAATGGTTGCAATTCAAGCACATTTTCCATCCCAGCAGGTGTTCCGCAAGGAAGTCTGTTGGGCCCTTTGCTATACAGCATCTACACTTCCGACATTCCTCCCTTGGGTAACGGTTGCGTGTTATTTCTGTTCGCAGATGATACTGCTATAACCGTCAAGGGAAGGATGCCTCGTGAAATAACAAACAAGCTTCAACGATGCCTTGACGCCTTTGCTGATTATGCCACCACGTGGAAAATCAAAATCAATGCTTCCAAAACCCAAACAATAATGTTCCTCCATCGGCAATCTCCCAAACTAAAACCAGCTCCCTCTTGTACTGTAATCATGGATGGCACAAGGGTTGAGTGGTCCGCCGAAGTAACCTATCTCGGGATGTTGTATGACGAAAAGCTCCTATTCCGCTCGCATGTGGAGAAAACCGTAATCAAGTGTTCCGCCTTGGTTAGGAGTCTGTATCCGCTGATTTGCCGCAGATCCCGCCTCTCAAGGGTGAACAAACTGGCCGTCTACAAACAAATCATAGCACCTGCGATCCTCTACGCAGCTCCGGTGTGGGAATCATGTGCACAGACTCACAGGAACAAAATTCAGGTAGCTCAGAATAGAGTGCTGAGGATGGTTCTTGATCGTCCTTTCGACACTAGAATAACAAATTTACATGAAGAGGCAGGCATTGCCAAAATAGATTCCAAAATTATCGAAATTAAGACTAAATTTGCACAAAAATGTAATTTATCAGAACATGCTTTGATAAGCAATTTGTATATAGTAGGTTAAGTGTACATAGTAGTTGTAGGTTAGTTGTAGTTGTAAATAGTAGTTATAAGTAGTCTCCTTTTTCCAATTCAAATCAAACCAATCCCACCAAGGTGGTCATACTTTAAAATAGACCTGATAGGACTAGGAACTGTAAATAATAATTAAAATCTGAAATGTACTAAAGTTGAAAAGACGCATCTGTGTCACTTAAAAAATTCATACATGTAAACCACACAATCACAAGAAATAAAGATCATTTAAATGGCAAAATGCTTTTGCTCATTGTCGCTTCGGACTAGGAATGGGCGTTTTGAAACAAAAAATCGATGTTGTCGAATCGATTCTAAAACGGACTATAAAATCGATCCTCTAAAATATCGAAATAAAAAAAATCGATTCGAGTAAAATCGATTTTTGTAAATATTTGAATTATGCTTTATAATCTTCTATTAGACGAAATATTCCTCTTCCTGTTGTTTTAGTGTATGTGTGAGAGCATTTATTTGTATAAAACCAATTCACAAAAGCAATTGCACTCTATTTAAATATTGAAACCGAATTATTAAGAAATATTGCGAATATTTAGCTTCACAGTTAGAAATGCCTAATTTTACAAGTGACGGAATCCATCTTTGACATAAAAGATGAGACGTAAACAAACATGTAATGTAAAATTAAATGCTCCGAGACAGAAAAGTTCGTTACTCGACGAAAAATACGTTTTATTGAGTTGAATTTCACGTCTATTATGACACAATATTATGTCAAAATTGACGCTCGTATATGTCAGGCTCAGAGCACCTAAATTTACATGATTTTTTCTAAGTGTGTTATTCAACTTCAACTCTATATCTTAGCTTTGAAAATCTTCTGTACATACTTAGAAATTTTTAAAGGAATCTGTAAAATTTTACCGAAATCTCAACAGCTGAACGTTCGGTAAACAGTTTCGCAGATTTCCTGTAATACTTCACAATTATCTGTGAATTTTTCACAGATATCTGTTAATAATTACAGGAAAATTGTTAAATTGTTTACCGAACGTTCAGCTTAATCTGTTAAATAATCTTAGTGTGTAGGTATTAAAACTTACCTTTCCAATGTTTTTTTTTTGCATCAAGGAGTGCGTGTTTTTTTTGCAAACAAAATCAGCTGGATGAATTAGAAAGAATGGGTCCAAAGTACACACAACATAAAAAGTAACAAATAAATAAAGCCCAAGATTGAAAGGGTGTTTAGCAAAATTTGACGACGATGAAATTAAAATCGCTTGATTTTAAATAAAAACATATTTTTGGGAAAGTGAAATACCATTTTGTTTATCATTTTTTCAAGAATTCAATGATAACATTTGATTCAACATAATCAAAAACAACATAAAAAGAGTTCGGCGAGTTCTCCTTTGGTAATTTAGGCGTTTTGTTTTTTTAAATGCTTAATAAAAAAGTTTAAATGAGTAAAAAATCGATATCAACTTTGAAAAATCGATTATGTCAAACATCGAACAGAAAAAGATCGGATGAAAAAAAATCGAGTGAGTGGTGGTGTTCTCCAGGATCAGTAGCTCTCCGTGAGTTGCTGTGGGCCATCTATGTCAAGATCGTCATACTAAAGAGTATACACAGAGAGAATCCCATTCAAATTCCTATTTCTACACAAAACACAAGCTCCTGCTGCAGTTAACAAATAACATTTATTATCTAAGACCACGTAGTCCTACGTCAGCATTGCGTACAACCCCATAGGGCTGCCCCTTATAGTTTTTCATCTGAAAAATCCCCTAATCTCCCATGTATGAAATTGCACAAATCGATTTTTTGTTTAATTTTAAAATGCATGAATCTTCGAGACTGGAACCATTTTGTTCCGAAATTCAACGTTCTGGGATTTGGTGAATTCTCCGAAATAGATTTTTGTTTGTTTGATGCGGAATGACATTGAGATCTCGTGTTATCAGTGAAAACAAAACTCGTATCAAAAATTGAGTTTCTCGGTTTGAAATTCCGGAAGTCCCTGAAAGTAAATTTATGACAAACAAAATATGCGAGTTAACACTGGATATCGAAGTTTCATGCATTTTTAAGTCATTTGGCATAAAAAAAAAAAGTTCATTTTCCGAAATGTCATGTCTTGGAAGATTTTTTAGATAAAAAACAGTTTAAACTTTGACTATTTTGCGCCGCCCCATTTCATGTCCGATAATTGCGCCCAAATTTTGCATAGGGTCTTTTTTCGAAGGCGATGAACATTTTGTACATGGTCGGTTTGAAAAATTCGACAGTCACTTTTTTCCCATACATTTCATTGGCTCCCTAATGCTGGGTTTAGACTAGGCAAGTCAAATGATCAACTCAGTTGAATTCAATTGGCTTGAAAAGTTGAGCCTGGTTCAACTTTTTTCAATTCAAGTGAGTTGATCAAGTCACTTGAATGGCATGGTTTACACGTTCAATTCGCGTTCAAGTCAGTTGAATTCAACTGAGTTGATCAATTGACTTGCCCTGTTTAAACCCAGCTTACTGTAGGTAGGACCTAATGAAAATTTACGCGAGCAATTTCCCACTGTTTTCACTCATTACATTTATTCAATAGTATAAAGAAAAAATAAAACACAAATGCATTTACTCAATTCCTTCCATTCTGTTTTTTGTTTGTCTTCCAGAACCAAACGGCGGCAGCTTGAGTAACGTAGCAGTGATGTGGTGGTAAACTAAACCGCAACCAGAATCAAAAGTAATGTGACAAGAAACCAATTCTAATCCAATTTGAGCGCTGTACTGAGAAACACCCGTCAAAGTACAAGAAAGTGAAGCGCACCAAGGCAGAAAAGAAGTGGTCTTTGAGAAAGTGCGTGTGCCATTTAAGGGGTGTGTGTGTGTGTGCGCGCGCCCGTGCGGTGCGGTGAGCTGGGCAAAATATAATCCCACTCAGCGCTAGCGCTACTGTCCGGCCGTCAGAATGAAGCAAACAGTGATTCTATTCATAATTGGTTGCACCGTGCTGGGGGCTGCTTTCGCGGGAGCACAGAATGCAGCAAATGGTGACCCAGCTCCGGGCCGGTCTCCGGGACCACCCGGGGTAGCGCAGCTACCGAACACCGAGCACGGAGAGCCCATGGACGGTGAAACGCCGACGTTCATCTTCACCAAGGATGACACCGCTGGTAGTCGTTCGCCGTTGACGTCGAACGACGTTCTGGATCCACCGCCGGGCGATGATGATGACGACGTCGGTGGTGGTGGTGGTGGTGATTCAGAACAGTTCGCAGGTGACGTCAGCAGTGAATCCTCCCGAAGCAGCAGTGTGCTGGCTGCTTCCGGGGAAAGTGAAGAAGTGGAACTGGCTGGTTCTGTGGGAGGGGAACTTCAGGTCGAGAATCAACTGGAAGGGGAACCGGGACCGGAGCAGGTAGAAGTGGAACCTTGCTCGAGGAGTATCGAGGATTATCTGAAGCCAGACGATAAGATTGTGCGGGTTGGCAAAGACGACGACAGCAGAGGCGAGACGCACCTGCAGGTTCACGTCGTTCATGACGTGTTTGACACCGCTAATGGAATTGTTCCGGGCGTTGTGTATCGAGGTAAGTGGAAGCCATTTTTCCGTTACAGATCTACCTATCTAGGTAGCTAGCAGCAGTCGGGAGAAGGTCGTGGAAAGTTATGTTTATTTATTGATTCCGCCAAATGGACTTCTGAACTCGGTAGCCTTGGGCATTGGGCTTTAACGAGAGCCGATTTTTCAAGAGAATTTTTACGGTCTCGGTAATTAATGGCCCAAAACCCAATCCTGTCATGAGGCAAACCATTACAGAAAATCCATCCCCATAGGCCCCAACGCGTACCGTCATTAACCTTTTCATGACGATTCGGGGATGCAGTCAATCAACGTGGTTTGTGGTCACAATGGGGCCACAGTGAGACGATTCCAAACAACAAATGGCCAAAACATCTTTTGATCAATGAAAACCCATGTTACTTACGAAATGTTGGGGTGTTGAATCCGAATCTGAGGTTGTTTATCCATTGAAATTTGTATTTCTCATGTCTCTCGTTATGTTTTTTTTTATTAGAATCATCAGTATTTTTTTTTGATTTGAGAAAAGTATTGAATTTTTAATATAAATGACCAGTTCCACGCGAAATAGAAAAATAATTATATAAAAATAAATTATTGGACCTTCTCCGATTTGCATGAAACTTTGCACATCTGTTTGTTATAGGCAATCATTCACCTTTTTTTTTTGCAAAAAATCAGTTATTTCGTATATTGTATTTATTAAGAGATGTACTAGCCTATGGCTAAAAATCTCTTTAATAAAGAAAAAAAAAACGATATTGCATTTTTTTTTTTCAAAATAGCGTCTTTGACATTTTTCAATAAAATGTTGCAGTGAAATCTCACTGTTGATCGAAATGACGTCGGAGACCAAGTAGTTATTATATACAGCTTTATTTTTTACTACAATTTTGTCTCAGACGGCATTTCGATCAGAAGTGACGGTTACGTACAACATTTTTTCTAAAGTGCCAAGGACGCCATTTTGAAGAAAATTCAGGATCAAAAATGGTCAAATTATAGCAAATATGTAACTGATTGCCTACAAAAATCAATTTTGCATCAAGTTTCATGCAAATCGGATATAGACAGATTTTTTTTCTATTTGGCCTGGAACTGCTCTTTGCAGCTTGGTTTAAAATTATACAAAACTCAATGACCACAGATTTGTTCTACACTTTTTTCCATGGAACTTTATCTTCGGTGCCATAAACACTTATGCCACCATTAGAGCTTCTGCAAATTGGGTAAAATTGTAAATTAAAAAAAAAAATGATGCGAATTTTCCACTTTTGATTTTTGACCAGCGATTTCCCACCGTACGTGCGCTTCAGCGATGAGTATCGATCAACCAGGAGGACGAGTAATTATTTTGGACCATTTCTTTCTGTTTTTTTTTTCGCTCACCTCCCACTTCTCGATGGCGCTGTCATTGTCGCTGTCTGTCATTAATTTCATTCCGGATGTTAATTGTTATTGTTTGGTGGAAATTGAACGTCAACCGACCTCGCTGCAGCACGATGAAGCCGATGCTGGTGGAATGGTTATCCGTGTCGTCGTCCTGATGGTAAATTTTCACGCACGTCCATACATGTTATTTGCGGGGTTTATTTGATGGGGAACATTAGCTCAAATAGGGTCGTAAAGAAGGGAATTAATCGACGGTGAGTGTGGAGTAATGTTGCTAATTGTAATGGTACGATCCTGATGAGGATTTTAGTGCTACGAAAGTCATTAGCATTTCAAGCAAGGGTTTATTTAAAATGTACCTTATCTACATTTATTTGCATCGAAAAATTGTGTCGTTTTCGTTTTAATGCAATCAACTTTTTACCTCAGGATTCTGGACCAACATTAGAAATGGGCGGTTCAGCCAACCGGTAACAATCATGGAATTGAAAGAAGAAAAAAAAACGTATCTCCAGATATTTTGCGACTGATTAAAATACTAGTAAACGAAATTTGTTAAGAGTACAAATGAAATCAAGGATTATATATATTTATAGCATTCATGATCAGTAACAAAAGCGATAGCTTGAGCTTGAGCTTGATTGACCGCCCACGGTTGCTACTCTGTTCCTGCCAGATCAGCTGTAATTACACAGAGAACCAATAGACGATGCTTGGGACTAGCAATCACCCTCAATGTGTAAAAACTGGTGATCTCAAATAAGGCAATACCAGCGCCGGCCGCGCCCAAACACAGGTCAAGAAAGAAATGGGAAGGATTGTGTTGACATGACACTCGCTTTGATGGAAGCCGAGAACACCTCTGCACTTCCACGAGGAATCACTGGGATGTTTGCTTGCAGCAGGGTTCGTTTTGGTAAACGATAAGCTGAATTGATGTCCTAACGATAATATAACGCGAAGGAGCTTGGGACTAAACCCATGGTCTTTTGCTCAGTAAGTAAAAACGTTTGCCACTAGGCAGACGAGCACATTTTTAATCACCGAGTTGCTGTTATTACCATGTAGTCATATTAACAAATAAAACGATTGACGAATCTTGAATGTGGATGGGCCTGAGATTAGACTCATGATGTTCTGCTCAGTAAGCAAAAACGGTTGCTTTAAGGGCACCGAGCCCCTCATATCACATAATACCGTTGCTCAAATTTGTGTATCCATTCAAACCCGGAACCAACGACAACAACGAGTTTCGCAAAATACACGATACACAAGTGATTTTACCATAAATCTCTTTGATATGTAAGGACTTGGGACCGCGTTTTTTGCTCAGTAAGCAGGCCACTGTAACCGACGATCTTTCAAATCCAAAAACTAAAAACTACGAAAAAGTACTAAGGCCTTCATTAAGTTCAATTTCACGCGACGTTCAATGACAGGGTCCTATCCAGGATTACATCTGAAAAATCCAAATCTGGCCAACGCCCACCTAAACCTGTTCTAATCCACCTGAAATGACTAACGAATGGAATACCTTGACTTCCCAGCCATGCAAAAGTCTCATTCCGTGCCTTATGGCAACTTGATGATTCTATTGCGCTCATCTTTTGGCACCACCCAGGGGAGACTTGGTCCTGTACCCAATGCTTAACTTATCTCCATTCCACTCAGCTACTCGCAATTTCTTGTGATATAGTGGGCGGAATATTATTATATGAGACAATTCAATGCAGACGTCTTTCCAAATTTGGCAGATCGACAGGTAATCGGTGAGTTACTACGATAGTTGCTATTCAACAACTCAACAACGTCCCATCGTCAACGCCTGCTATGAGAATTTCCCATTGCAGACGTCAACGAAATGACGTCATCGAGTTATTGATCAACTACCCTGGTTATCGCCTGGTACCTTATAGCACGATGCTAGGAGGCGAACCGGAAGAATCGATGAGTTACCTTTCCCTCCTCATGATCAGTAACAATAGTAATAATACAAAAACTGCGGTGCCAAAGTTTCAGAGTTTGTATATCACAAAAACTGTTGACTGATTTAAGGACAGTAGACGAACAAAGCCGAATGATTTTTTTTTTTTATTATAATCACTTTAACACTCTTGGGTCATTCGTGACTTGTCCGTGTCTCGTGACTTTGGCGTGAGAGGTATGGATTCTAACCACTACGCCGGGGTCGCCCCAAGCCAAATGATTGAGCAAACTCACGAATTGGCTCACCGTGGCGTTTTGGAGAACAAAAGACAGATTTCAAAGAGATTCTTTTTTCCAAGAATGATCAAGATGCCGTATCACTATTATTAGGAGTGATCGCCATCGTTTGACTAATAGCATTATCCCAGCACGGCATTATACTTCAGTGCACTGCCGTACTGTGAGTTGTTCTCCAAATGTCAAAGGGTTCTATCAGCCCCTTGTCGAAGAACTTACGCCTTTTATTGAAAATTGCCGGACGGTGGCATAGCAAATGTTCCGAGTCTTCCTTTTCTATGCCACAGAAGCGACATACATCATCTTGAATTTTTCCAATCAGCTTCAAGTGAAAACGGCTCGGACAATGACCTGTTTTAAGACCTGCATATATACTAAGATCTTTCTTTGAAAGTTCCAGGATTTTGTGGGTCACAGAAATGTTTGGATTAATAAATCGCTTCGACTGCCTACCAATAGAAGTGTTCTTCCAGTTTTCCTCCACTTTTGAATATTCCCACGCTTTTAGCTCAATTCTAAGAGATGCAGCCGATAAGCCACAGAAGGGCTCTGGCCCCATGAACTTATGAGCCGATCCGAGTCTTGCTAGTGCGTCAGCTCTTTCATTTCCCTCAATCCTGCAATGACCAGGAACCCAATATAAGTTGACTTGATTATGACAAGACAATTTTTGAAGTGATTGAACACACTCCCAGACAAGTTTTGATGTACATGTCGCCGACTTTAAAGCATTTAGAGCAGCTTAACTGTCGGACATGACGCATATATTTGAACTCTTATAGTTTCTACGCAAACATATAACGGAACACTCTAAAATTGCTTGGATTTCAGCTTGGAACACAGTTGGCCATCTGCCCATAGGAACCGATATTTCTATCCCTGGGCCAGTTACTCCTGCTCCCACTTGATTGTTCAATCTTGAACCATCTGTATAAAAAACAATCGATCCTGGACGAAGAACCGGGCCACCAAATTGCCATGAATTACGCCCAGGGTCAACTACTTCAAAAAGTCTTTTCTCCATCCAATCTTAGTTGTTCCTTACTAGAAAGTTGATACTAACAGTTTTTAGAATCCTAAGATGTCCTATAAGGTCTCCTTCAAAGAGTTTCACTGACGTTGTAATCCTTAGAGCACACTTTTCGGCTTCTAATTGTACAAATTGATGCAATGGTAGCATATAAAGCAAAACATCCAATGCCTTCGATGGTGTACTTCTCATTGCACATGTTATTGAGAGAGTTGCTAACCTTTGGAGTTTTTCTAACTTTCTCTGAACAACACTCTCTTTTGTTTTTGGCCACCAGACCAATGCACCATAAGTAATCCTGGGTTTCACAATTGCTGAATAAATCCAACATTTTCGGTTTCAGTCCCCACTGTTTACCGAAT